TTTTTCCTTCTGAATGAGTAAGAATAATTGGCTTGTCTCCTTTTGGGCATCTGCTGCTAGGATCTCAAAGGTAACCAACTTTTTGTGGGAATTGTTTCCTAGACAAAGGCTCAAGTCTGAAAAGAATACAAAAGAGCATAAGCCACACCCTCCATCTTGAGGAGGCCACACTAAGTCTGATTCCTGTCCCCTTTTTGCCATTTAAAAAATCATATCCATGGGACCAGCAGACGGCATAATGGTTATGCTGCTGGACTCTCGTGTAGTCAATTGTGGTTCATGTCCCAGACCTGGCAGCTTAAAATTCACACCAGGCATGTGTGCATGTGTGCCCAATCTGGAGAAGAGAATGGAGGAGAAGGGTGGTGTGTAGCATGGCCACCCCCCCAGGGGGTGGGGGAGTGGGTGATTTCTCGCTTTCTGTCTCTCTAGGGAACACACGTGCCATATAGCAAAAAGCCCTAACAAAAATCATTTTCATATATCACCTCTGCTGTTCTTTACCAAAGTTCATTGATTGGCTAAGACACACTTTTTTTTTCTTTTTAACATTTTCAAATGTCTGATATGGGATGCAGCTTAGAATTGATGATACAAAAGTATTGGGCCATAGTTTATTGGGAGCATTTTTTCTTTCTTAGCACTTCATAAAATAACGATGAATCTTATAGTCAATGGCATCTTAGATTCGATGAAATAAAATCTAGTGCTTAAATTTTCTTCTTCAAATCAACTCCCTGTTTTATCCGATCATACTTATTTTAAAAGGAAACTTTTATCACTGCTTTAAATGGAGAGCCAATATTATTTGATGTGCTAGATATATTTTTTCCTCATAGGTATTAAATAATCTATAATTTTTACAGTCTCCCTGTGTATATTACTAGGGGGAGACCTGCCCTGGACCATCAGGCAGAAGCAGTTGGACTTATGGACTTATCTCTCAGCACACAGCTGTGTGAAAGAGAAACGCCCATTGAATTTTCAGTGGACATGTCAGTGATGTAGTGGACAAGAAGGATGAACATAGAAGGAATAAAAATAATATCAGACATTGGCAACCCTTTAATGCAGCAGGTCCCTGGGAAATTGCTGCATGGATAGCAGGGCCCTGTCACTCATTCCTAGCCCTTTTTCCTTACCTTCACGTCTGATCTGCAAGCACATGCCATTGGTCCCACCTTCAAAACACATCCCTAATCTGCCCCTTACTCATCCTCTCTATCAGCATGCCCTTTCTCCAAGCTCCCTTGCAGGAGGACACTGCCACAGCCCCTTACTGGCCTCCTTACTCCTGAGCGCCTATGGAATCCGTGCAACCCATTCTCTTCAAAAGCTATCATTTAATTTTGTTTTCATCTATTATTCATGTTCAAGCCTTTGTCATTCTTCTCTCAAACTCCTTTGTGCTTAAGCAGTTTCTCTGCTCTACTCTGGAAGGTCTGTTTCTGATTGATCTAAGAAGTTCTGAGGTGATCAATAATCTTTTCATCGTATGGTATTTAGACTGTGGTAATTAGCCAGAGGAATCCTGATCTTGCATAAGTCAGGTCCTCTCACTACAATTTCATTCTCAAGTAAAATCCAACCTAGCCCTGCATGCTCTGGTCCTCTGGTCCTGATGCATTAAACTCTGGCCATAGGGATGACACTGAGTCCCTGCCAACCACCAGTCCTTTGGATTTGCTGTGCCTTCTATTAAGTTCTTCCTTTGTATTTTAGTATGTCCAGGCCCTTCTTGTCATGTAGGTATCTTACTCATGCCCTACACTCTTGTGCTATCCCTTCTCTTTTCTTCATAGCATTGATCACTATCAGATTTTTGTTTGTTGGCTTAATTATTTGCGTGTGACTTCTCTCTTCACTGGAATATAAACTCATCAGATGCAGGAAAGTGAGAATCTTGATAAATAAGAGCCTTAGATCTATAGATTTCTGTATCTATAGCACACAGCAAGTGGTAATAAATGGTTTTTGAGCACATGAATAAAGGGAGGGCAGTGCTGGAGCATTATGTCAGAACGCGGGGCTATTGGTGTCTTGCCTAGGATGCCAACTGTTATCTGTCAAGAGAATGCTGCCAGATGTGGTTCTGTGTGGAACTTAGGGTGATCTCCATAGGTGACTACAAGAACAAAAATCTCAGGAGAATCAGGAAAGAAAGGTCTTGGGAGCCAGAGACAAGGTCAGGGAAAATATGCAACATGGTCACATAGAGATGGTGCTTTATCTGAACACGGATGTTCTATTTCAGTTCAGCCTTCTTTCGTCAGGCCTCTTCTCTCTACCTTCTTAAGCTTCAAGAAGGCTTTTTGCCAAGCCTCACTCTGCAGACTGTGGAGTGTTGTATATTTCTCAGGCCTGCCCTCCCCATTTCCCCTCTAGTCTTACCTTGCACAGGTGCTAAGGGCTCATACACCACTCTATAGCCCTGCAGGATACCGTTGGCTGCTACCGGCTCCCCCCATGAGACGTTAAGTGTGGTGGAGGTTATTTCTGAGAACATCAAAAAGCTGGGGGCCCCAGGAGCTGAAAAACAGAACATAAAGTGACTTTTACTAAAGCTCCTTTATAGATCTTATACATACATGCCTATGTCTCCGTGTAGAATTAAAAAAATATATTAGATGTTATTTTCAATTTAGTAAACTTCTAAATGCCACAGCATGAAAAGAAGATTTATTGATCATCTCAGAATTTCCTAGGATCAATCAGAAACATAGACCTCATGAGAAAAGGAGAGAAAATGACAGTGTTCAAACACAAAGGGGTTGAGAAATGAAATGACAAAGGCATAAAAATGAATAATAGATAGAAACAGAAATGAAATGCAGATAGATCCATTTTCCAGTAAGTGCTTAAGGATTCTGGAGGCTCTCGTCCTGCTCTTTTGGGGACAGACAAAGCTCTGTGGTGGACTAATCCTCTCCCTATCCTTCCTCTCCTCTCCCATAGACCTGGAGGTCTGAAAGGATGCCCCAAGACCCTCCATCTGAAATCTCCCAAGACACTCTGCTCACAGTGTTCCCTCTTGATCTAGAGAGAGAGGCAGGACAATAACTGAGCTCTCCTGAGCACTGGTACTACATAAGACCAGGTGTGTAGCCAGGGTTCTAGTAAGCCTTCTCATGGCTCCCCTTCACTGGACTCCTTGTGAGATGGGTATGTGCCAGAGCTGCTCCTGCAAATGGCCCGAGTGGTGTCCTTTATTGCTTTGAGTTGGCCCCCACTCTGCCTCATCTCTTTTCTCCCTCTAGTCCTTTTAGTAATGTGACTTGCCAGGTCCACAGTGGCTCTGAGTGGCCCTAAGCCCCATACTTTGTGCTTCACAGGTCTCCCCATGTCTTTCCAGCTCAGAGTCCAAAACTGGTGACCCTCCTCAGGCATTAGATGAAGCCAAGAGGGAGCAGCCCTTGCTATTGGGTCATCTTACAGGAGTGTGGTGCTGAGGAGCATCCCCAGGAGGTCAATTCTCTATGTGGGAGTTAGTGACTGAGTCACAAAATGTGATAGAGCCCTATATCTTCTCTCCTACACGCACGGCACTCCCAGGCTCCTGAACCTCACCTTCCCAGTCTTCGATTTCCTGCATTTTACAGAAGGCCTCTAACAGTGTCCCAAGATGTGAGGATAAGACATTGTTTCTTTGAGATTCTTGCAAAGCTTCATAACATTCTCTATGCCACTTAGAAATGATGAGATGGACTTCAAAAGTGGTCTACTCCAAATACAGGCTGTGCTCTGTATGGAGATGAGGCCACAAGCTGGAGGTCCCCACCAGCACAGTCATGGGCCTATGGCCTGTGTCTAATAAATAGCTGGAGAGCTGTTTTCAGGGCTGATCTGTAGTCCTGAAGTCCAGCATGTGGCCTGGCCACTGCACTAGGAGCTTACCCCAAAGAGATCTGGACATACTAATGAGCCAACTCTGATAACAAGTCCCCAGAGAAACTACTGAGTTGTCAGAAAAGTCATGATGCATTTTTGCATAGAAAATAATAGAAAAATACACCATGACTTTTCTGACGACCCATTAGAATGGAACTTGTTGGTTAGAAACAAGACCTAACTGCAGACTTAGAGCCCTTCTTTGTTTCTGCAATATTCTTGAGGACTCCAGAGAAAAACATGCATTATTCCACTCCATCTAATATTTGTTCAGTCCCACCATGTACAAGTTGAGGCCAGATAATGGGAAAACCGAATGACTCAAGCCCACGCCTGTCTCTCAGAAATTCCCAGCTGCACAATGTGATGCATGCTATACGACAGGCAGAACAAAGAGTTGTGGAGACTGGGAGAAAGGATTTATTTGTTCTGCCTGGTGGGCCCAGGAACCCCTGGAGGAGGTGACAGAGGTTGTTGTTCTAAAAATGCACATCCAACTAAGGCCTACAGAAAGGAAACATATCATTTTCCTACCTGCCTGGTGGGTGCGCCCCTGCCTGGGGTCACTTTTGGGCCCATCTCCAGCAGCGTTGAAGGCAGATATGCTGACCAGGTACTTGGTGTGGCTGGTCAGGTTCTTCAGCTTCACCATGGGCTCGGGGAGGAACAGGACCTTCATTTTCTCGGTTTCATTCTGACTGTCTGCCTCCCAGTAGTAAATCTGTGAGAAAGATCAAGAGGTTGGGAGCAGGCCATGGGGAAGGTTTGTCTGTTTCTAAGTGTTCTGGAAGGGGTGGCCGCTGCATGCAATTTCAGACAGTGAGGATAGGGTTATTCTGCAAGCTGAGCTTTGTCCCAAGCAAGAATTAGGGAGCAGCTGAAGCTAATGAGATGTGGACAGCAATCCTTGGCTGCTAATACCATTTAGGGGTCAGAGACCAATGACTAGCATTTCCAAGCTATTTGTCCACAGTTTAAGTACTGCCTTGTTAAACAAAGCCCTGGTCAACATGGGGGTCTGATGATGGAAGGGTTACTTTCCTTCAACTGCAAGAATGTGTCTTTTCACATATAGAGCTAGTTCTGCTTTGTCTTTATTGCTGGCCTCTGCTCCTGTCCCCCACCCCTATCTTCTAGAGAGAAGGGAGACTACTCAATGTCTACCCTCTGTGGATAGAATACTCCCCCAAACTCTTACCCCATGTTCCCACATCTTATTCAAAGTTGACATTTTAAGTTTTCAATCAATGTGGCAAAATACAACCAAAAATAACAGGAAGGAAAACCACACTGAGCTCAGAACTATGGGGAAGGCCCCATATTTCTCTTGGGTACCACTTCCCTTCATCAAGCTATTACGGTGCTTCTGGTGAACTTGATGTCCAAGTATAAAGGTTTGAAAAGGTTGCCAGAATCACTTCCCTAGACAGCTGGCTGAGAATCACTGCTTGTAGCCAATGCCTGCTGAGCTGCTCAAAGACAATACCAAGCAGAAGATCCACCTTGGCTCAGTGGGCCCAAACCCAAGCCAGGCCATTTAAGCAGCTTATCCATGTGCAGAAATAGTGCAGCGGCTGTGAGGAGGCACCTGATTGCCAGGTGCTAGCATTCCCACCTGGCACACTCAACACTTCACTCAGGTCAGAGCAAGCCCTGACAGGTGAGCTTCGCTCATTTCCACCTGCCAGATACAGCTGAGTGTCTGCTCACTGAACTGACCAAATATGATTTTCTGTTCACACAGGCCTTGCTAACTTGAGATCAATATCCAAGTTCAATGTCTCTATCATTAAGGAAATTAGAAAACATATTTTGGACATACATAAATAGCACCTTGCCTCCAAGCTCACAGGACTTTCTACTGCCTCATTAATCATGGTAACAGCTCTGCCACGGAGGAAAGTATTAATTTTCATAAAATACTGACAAAAATAATTTTAAATGGACTTTTAATTGGTCCGATAGTCATCAGGGCAGGCTAGCCTATAGAATCTGATGACTGATACACCTGGGCTCCATCAGACCAGACAAGGAAATTAATTTTGGAGAAGGATGGGAGCATTTTCAAGGAATTGGGAAGTTTTAGTTGATCTGAAGAGCACCTCAACTCTCTACACAGGTGAGATTGTAGATATGGAGTTAGCAGGAAGCTTCAGCTCCTTGGGTCAACCACCTTTGTAATTATTCCTCACTTGATACCCTCATTGTTACAGCCTGCTGCCTTTCTTTTATCTCATCTCAAGAGCATTAGATGAAATGCTAATCATCTCCTAGCATTTTATTGTGGTGGTTCTCAAAGCAGGGTTCCCAGGAACTATAATATCTGGAAATTTTATAGAAATGCAGTTCTTGGGCCCTGCTCTAGACTTACAGAAGCAAGAGACTCAATAATGTCCAATAGTGACCCTAAAGTAGGGTGACGATGGAGAACCTATTCTCCTCAAGAGACCTTGTTTTCTTTTACTGTCAGCAAATATATAGGCGTTCCTCACTTAATGGTTGAGTTCCATTCCTTCCCATGACCAAGTTATAAAGCATATCGGTGGATAAATGAGGAGCGGATATCTTATGGTGTGTTGTAGCACCATATGGTGTATATTTTTCAATAGGTATCACATGACATCACACTAGGATAATGTAATTCTATCCATACAAAAAGCATACAGGGCCAGCGAGAGGCATGGCTGTTAAGGTGGCTGGATCCCATATGGCCAAGTGTTCTATTTGAGTCCCAGACCCAACAGTTTGAAAAACATGTGTAGCACGTGTGTGCATATGCCTAAAATCCCAAGAGGAGAATAGAGGTAAATGAGCTGCATCATGGCCAACCCCCCCGGAGGGTGCTTTCTCACTTTCTCTCTCTTTGGTAAGAATATAGCAAATTGGGACCAGCAGTTAGCGTAATGACTGTGTTACTAGACTCCCATATAGTAGACTGCTGTTTGAATCCTGGACCCGGTGGCTTAAACTCAGGCTGGGCACATGTGCATGCATGCCCAAGATCCTGAGAGGAGAATGGAGGAGAAGGGATTGCAGTGTGGCCATCCCCTTGGGGGGTGATTTCTCACTTTCTGTCTCTCTCTGTCTTTCTGGCGAGCACACACACCCTATAGCAAAAAAGAAAACCTCTCCAAAAGAAAAAAAAATATAGCAAATTAAAAACAAAACAGAACATATTAGATTAAGTGACAGAAGCATCAAGACACACCATAGTACAATGAAATAAATCTAGTGTAATCATTTTTCTTTATTCTGAATACGACTATGCGTGTACAATAAACTATGTACAAATTTATAAATGAAATATTTAGTCTCGCGTGATTGTGAACACTTCGTGTAGTGAATACTAACTGACTGCAGAAAGAAGAAAGACTGAGTGAGACAGGAGTTCCCTGCATTGGAGAACTAGTCATAAGTCTCAGAGGTCATTAAACAGGTTGTTAAGTGAGGAATGTCTTACTACAAGCTCCAGAGCAGGCACGGGAAGAGGAAGAATTCCTAGCCAGGCCACAGTGGCCTGAGGAGAGTCCCTGAACAGCTCTGGATGCACCCAGGCCCCTGATCCAGACTTTTTGGGGTTAGTGGGAGTGGTGGAGGGGCACAGTGAACCCCACCCTCTCCCTCAAGCAGCTTTTATCACAGGCTGACAGGTAAGATTCAGCTCAGCCTGCTCTGGCTGCTCAGGGCTCCCCACAATATGGGCTGATTGCTGCTGAAAAAAACAAGCCAGAGTGAGCCAAGGGCAGCAGACCTGGAGAGGGGCCAGGATTCCAACTGAAGTCCTTGGGGCCTCTAGGGGTTTAGGTGGCTAATGCTGAACACACAAGCAAAGTGGAGGAAACCTGAACCATGAGGGAAAGTCTTACCTTGTAGCCCTGGATGTTCCCATTCTGGCTTTCTGGAGGTGGTGGGTCCCATGTGACTTCTAGCTGGCTGGCCGTGAGTGGGGTCACCTGGACATTCTGGGGTGCCATTGCAGGAGCTGAGGAAAGAGAAGAACAGTAACTGAGATGTCCATTCAGAGCTGGCCAGGACCCTCACCCACACATCTATAGAGCTTGCACAAGCCCCTCATTCCATGAGGGAGTGTATGAGAGAGTTTACCATCATCGAGGTTGGGAGGCCTTAGGCTCAACCACATCTCAGGCCCCATACCTCTGTCCCCACAGGAGATTTTAGCTCTTTCATGGCAGGGAAGACTACAAACCCTTCCCAGAAGGATGTTCTTAAATGCATAAAATAAGATATATAGAACTGCAAAGGAAAGAGCAGAATATTCAAAAACAAAGGTATTAAATAGTGATCCATGTGCTTCTTGGTTAATATATTACATTGACCTGAGGGCTGGTCTGATGTCTCCTGAGATAAAGCAGTGATGAGTGTGGATGATAACCTGAGCTGGGTTATCAGCAGCACCTGACCTGTGACAGGGGCTAGCTGTGGGCTCCATTGGTGAGGGAGTTATAGGTGCTGCTATAGTTTGTCATAGACATTCCTGACTGAAGGAGATGCCAAATTTGGGGTAAAGGTTATAGAAAATAAAGCTATCTGTGCTTCCCTCACGAGTTCAGGCATTCTTAGACACAAAGTTGTGTTTTAGATGAAGTTAGTCTGGAGACACAGAGCTGCCCTCCACAAGGGACAGAAGCAAAGATTTCTGAGAATATTGCTGTGTGTGGCTCTCCGATGCCAGCTCTGGCTAAAAATTCTGAGGCCCAAGTCATCACTTCCTCTTCCTCCTGTCCCACCTAGAGGAGTTCACTGGGGTATTCTGTATGGGTCATCAGGACCACACTGTGTGCAAAAGACACACCTTACCACACAACCTGTTGTTAACAACACACAGAGCACAGGTCTGCATTCTAGAACATAACTATCCTCCGTATATTTAGCCAGTTTCAGTCAGTGTGTGAATTCCACACTGAGAATTTTCTCATGGCAGTCTGTCTTCTGCTCCTGGGAGCTAGTCCCTTCTCCTCTGGGAAACTCCTGGATAAAGGGACTAGACCGTGGGGAGTTCTACTGAATTGTCTTGGGGGCCTGGTTCTGGGGAGGCAGAAGCCAGTTGAGCTTTCCTCAGCTCCTGCTACCTCGGCCTGTGGGATCCAGAGTGCAGCCACTTGTTTCAAGTCTGTTTACAGACCACAAATGGAGGAGATAAAGCAGTCAGTGTCCCAGGAAGGTGGTCCAGCGCCTCACCTCTCTGGAGAGGCCTTTCTAGAAGAGAATGACCTCCTGAGTCACTCCTTTCCTGTCGCCCCCTCCCCACTTTATGCTCTCTCCCCCCATGTAGAATAAAATAGTAATTAACACCCACTCAGCCTGACACCAACTATTTATTTTGTTCTAACTGTGTGGTTTCCATATTATCACTGCCCACCCTGCCGTTAATGGAAATGTTAATAACCCACACCAGGTTGTTGTGACAGATGCTCAGCCTCATTATCAGAAATTCTTATTTACCGCTCCATTAAACAACAGAATCACACAAAAAAACAATTCAATCAAAACTAACTGGAGGAATTTTAACAGCCACATTAATAATCCAAAACATAAATAAAGTTAATGTCTTTTGCATGTTTGCCATCGGCAACTCTATTGCAAAATTATTGTTGTACAATTAAAATGTGAAAGGCAAAATTGAGCATGGCCATTACCCTGGTAGTCGCTTAGAACCCCCGTTCTCCTGGAAGCCCCCCAAGGTTTCCTTTTCAAAGGTGCAGCCAAACCCAGTGCCCATGACAACCCTGGACACAGCTACCTATCTGCAGGAACTGGTGGAATCCATGAGCTCCAGGCGAACCCTCCAGAATCAGCTGGCCACATGTCTTGTCACAGGGGTTGACATGTGCCAAGCAGAGGCCCCTGGTCCTGTCTCTAGTAGCCAAGTTGCACACCTTCCCTAAGCAGCAGGGCTTCCACATACCCCACAGCTATGGTGCAGCCTAGCGTTTCTGTGCCATGAACATACTGAAGATAAAGATTTTTGTTGATGACATAAGCAGGGAAGAGAGAAATGTATGTAAACATAGAGCAAAGCATGTTGATTTTGAGACTTTGTTTTTGGCTCCTGAAATCTGTTGGGTCTCCATGCCAACAGGAAAACTTGACTTTCAGTAAGGCCCTGCTATTTACAATCCTGAATACAATTCTTGTGCCCTGCAAAGTGTTTGTGGTTTGGGAGCTGATGGTGCAATTGCTGAGTCATTATCATTTTGTTCTCTACCTCAACATTTGTGGTGTAAGGAGAGCACAAAAATCAGCTCAGAATGTTTTTTTTTTTCTTTTTTTAATGCACGAAATTAATTTTAAAAAGCATTTCTAGACCAACAATCTCTGGCATTTGCTGATATACAGATTGCCTCCAAACAATATTTAGATGTGCAATGAAAAGGTTATGGCGCAAAGCTGAGATTTTCTCTGGGTGTCTCATGCTGAGGCTGACAACCATCACAGAGCTGGGTGACTCACAGTCCTTGCTGTGATCGCTGCTTGCACTTTTGTCAGGGAGCTGCCATGGCCTTGAAAAGAGATCTTGTCAAGGCAGTAATAGAGAAGCTTCAGGGATTTCCAGAGATACCCAGTACCTGACACCCACAGTAGCATCTTCTGGAGCTCTGGCTGATTGTTTGGCTGGGTGCTGTGAACTGAGGAGGCTGCAGAGTTGCTTTCCCTGGGCCTGCCACCTTTGCCAGGAAAAGGTGGGCTGAATGCTGGCAGATAGACCCCACAGAGCAGTAAGGGTAGGGTTTCTGCCTATCTCACTCAATCCCACAGGCAGGCTCCCTTTCCTCAAGCTAGCCATCAAGCTTCTGATGGATCGACAAGCAGCCACTGGAACACAATAGCTGTCTCTGACTCAGTCTTCATTTGCTGGTGAGTGGAGAGTCCTGGCTCACTGTCCCTAACACCATGTTTCACCCAACCCAGGGTAAACCCAGGCTTTGCGTTGTCCTCTCATCTAGGGTGTAAGGAATCCAGCTGCCAAGTGACGTAGCTGAATGGGTGCCAGTGAAACCACAGAAAGAGAAAACAGTCTATGTGGTTTTGGTAAAGGAAAGTTTTCAGAGTCATAAGAACCATGAGCTCTGTAGCAAGAATATCTATTCAGTCTTTCGCTAGCTCATTCAAAATATTCCCTGATCAAATGGAGGTTGTCCATTTGATTTGTGGACAGTGGTATGGCTGTGTGATTTATGGTTGTCTCTCTTAGGGGGTGACTGTAAACTTCTTTTTCTGACCCCGGTTTGACCATGTGACTCACAGTGGCCAATGGTATGGCAGAAATGACAGGCACTGCCATCATGGTCATATACTAGCAGAAGCCTGTGGTCTTCTCTTTCCCACAGCCTCAGAGCCAGCTATCCCCACACCGGGGTTCACCCTTCAGTCTGATACTGGGAAAGAAGACAACCAGAAGCAAAGGAGACATAGTGACCTTTAAAGGCCAGGTAATATGAAGGTTGAAGACACTATTGGTGTAAGCTACTAATATCTGGGATTATTACTATAGCCTTACTTTGCCAACAACTTCCTCAATAGTACCAGGCCCAAAGATTAGGGTTGGAGGTTGGGTGGACACAAAGATTTTGTAAAAGAAGGTTTAGCAAGAGAGATAAATCATAATAATCATAATACAAGATAGCATGTGAGGAGTAGTTCAAAGGGCCAGGAGAAATCACTCTGACTTGGGATGTGGGCTGTTTCTTGGAGAACATGGCTAACTGTTAAATAAGAGAGAGGATTGGGCCAGTGGGTGATAGGGTCATTAAGGCAGATGGATCCCAGCTGACTGAGTAGTTTGAGTCTGCACCCACCAGCTTGAAAAACACACTGAGAGCATGTGCACGTGTACCCAAAATCCTGAGAGGAGAAGGGATTGGGTACAGTCATCCATATGGGGGGATGCTTTCTCATTTTCTATTAATGTCTCTGTCTCACTCTGTTGAGTTCATGTGTCCTATAGCAAAACTAAAAAAATTAAATAAATAAACAGATAAAATAATGGGGAGGATTTCACATGTGACAATAGCTCTGGGGAGCAAGGACACTGTGATGGTGGGAATGGAGGGGGCTTATCAGAGGTGAGAAGGGAGGGGATCTGTTGGGCTCACATCACACAGATGGTCATCTTGTTGCTAGGACCACACATACCTGCTATTGCTTAAGTTTCCTGAGACCACATGGGACACTTATTATTGTGAGAGCTGCCCTTAGCTGCACTGGGCACTTGCTATTGCTAGAGCCACCCTTGGTCACACCAGGTATCTGCTATTGCTAGAGTAATTTTAGCTCATAATAGACCCTACTAGATCTCTACTTTTAGTTTTTTGTAACTCACTGATTTATTATTATTTGGGTAGAGCAAATTTTTAACTAATAATCTGAGCATCATTATAAACATTTTGATATAATGAAATAAGTGTTTCTTTACATGATTTTCTAAAAATTATACATTCATCAGTTCACTTTAATTACATCTAATTACATTTTCCTGGTCAAATACTCTTTCTGATTTCCTGTTGAAGTAAATAGGAAATAGAATTCTCTAATCAAATTTACTTTCTCAGCAAACCTTGCCAACACATCTGTTTCCCTAAGCAGGACTATCTGGAGACATACTCCAGGATTAGGGCAATTATTTAGCCTCTGGGGCCTTCTCATATATAAGAGAGGTTTAACAGATAATACTGCTTCAACTCAGTTAAGGAGAAGTCAAAATCGGAGACAGAGAGCAATGATTCAATGCAGGAGTGCAAGAAAGCAAGGAAGGAGCTGTCTTAGCAGACAAGCCAGGAAGCACAAAGACTTCACATCTTGCAAGTGCACAGTCCCCGAGAACAAAGGAGTTTGAATTTCTGCCATCATCATCGAACAGGATATCCAATTTCCAGGTCACCCCAGATGGGCTATGCAGCTACTAACCCTGCTCCCTAGGAACTGCAGATCTATAAATGTTTCAGTTGGCATTATAAAGCATTT